CCCCAAAACCCCAAAACCCCAAAACCCCATTTATCAATATTTGAGTCTATTTAAAAGATAAATAATCAAGAAAATAAATTAGTTTTCTTCTGAACCATAGCAAATACTAATGATAATAATCCAGTATATACTGTATATAAAAAGCTATATCTTAATGGAATTCCTAGCAGTTTCATCGGGTTGTATTCATGTTCTTTCTCGAGCCTCTCCCTAATTGAATCTATCACTTTTATTGTTGAAAGAAGATCCTTTTTACATTACTTGGGAGATTTAATCTTTAGCAAAGTAGTGTAATAGTTCTGAGCCAGCTTATAGTTATTGTTGATAATTGATTTCACAGATTTACGATTCTTCATGATCTAATCCCAGTCAGAGTATATTCTATCCAGCTGATTCTTTAATTCTGTCATCTTGAAAATTTAGTTTTCAGCTTCAGAATTTATTCTGACTCCTAAGTTCATTATGATTAGTGTCAAGATAAGAATGATGATTATTTCAAATATGATTATGACCCATTATTAATTGTCAAGAATCTTTACATTTAATCCAAAAAAATATCCCAAATACAAAACACCTAAGAAAAAATAAGTTTAAACATAAATAGCTATATAAAATTGAATTCGTTTTGTAAATCTCTGACCAAAATCATGAATTAATATCCATAAATCAAGCCAACAAATCATTGTTTATCTATCAAAAATATTCATAAGAGGATAGGTTCTTAAAACACTAATCATCTTTTATCTGTTAGCTTCTATAACTACGCTCATTGCGATATTCAGCATATATTTTCTGCTATAGTCTATGATAGCAATGTCAAAGAATGCTGAGTTAGCATAAAAAATGAATGAGTTTATGTAAAATAGAGAAATTGTGTATAGCCAAAAATCTAAATAAGTGTATCTTTCATACCATATTTCTTTTTTTTAATCGTTTTAGTAATCAGAATACAATATCATGCTAAAAGAAAGGGCACCATGTATCAATGACAATATAGCACCAAGGCATTTTTATTTAGGAGGCAGGACAATCTATGCAGTCAAAAATCCTTCCCTACAATATAGTCTTGCTGGATATCTAAGTAATAATTTTTCATCATCTAGTTCTTCAAGAGAATCTTCATATTATATATTCTAAATGCTTGACCTGTTTTTATTTTAAGAAAAAGATGTGGTCTCCATTGGTCTAACGCTAGAAAACTTTTTCTTAAAATTGTCATTTAAAGCACCTTGAACTCTTTAATTTTTTACATCTTGCTTTGCCAATAATTGATTAGCTTCTCTTAGAACTTTTTTAATTTATTTGGGATCATATTTATTCTTTTTGTAGTAGTCAAAATCTAATAAAGATTACTAGTAATATCCTCTCGTTCTACTTAAGAATAAGTTACCGAAAGATAAGTTCTCTATCTCATTCCTAATCATGGCATGCTTTATTTCAGTTTCAACTATTTAGGGGTTAAGTTCTCTCCAAGCTCTGACCAAATACTCTTTATCATTATCTTCTTTAGTAAATATCTTAGTCTTCTATTCATCTTTCCTTGTCATTGATTACGTAGCATATCTTATAGATATTATTATAGTTTTTATTATCATTGCAATTTCTGCTATAAAAAACTCTACAAAGTTCAAACGGCCAGATTGCCAGCCAAATAGATATGTGAATATAGCAATTTCCATAAAAATAACATTTATCAAGTTTAGAAAATGCTGATTGTTCCATCCCCAAAAACCCATATTAATCACAAATACTTTGCCTTCAATAATAATTAATAATGGAGTTGTAAATACTGGCCCAAGTATTTGAAAATAGAGCGTATGGTACAGGAACATTTTAAAAAATGTTGTAATTTCAAACTTTACAAAGCAATCAGCTGTAATAACTTCTTCATCATTAAAAGGATCATTTATTAATTTTTCTTCTTATTTTCTTATGTATTCCCTTAGTCTTGCTGTATCTTATTTCATTGAATCTCGTTCATCATCATCGAATCTATCATTAGTTTCGGAAAAATTGTCATTTGAATCATTTATTATTAATTGAGAATTCGATTTCATTGTAGAATTGGCACAATCCAATCTGCTACTAGAAATTTCTAGATCAATATTAGATTTCTCAGGTTTAATTTTATTTAATTTGGATTTGCTGCTGTAATTTTAAATATCTTGCAGTTCAATATTTTAATGATTATCAATAGATGTGAGCCTTTCTCTTTGATTAAAACTGTCTATTATTTCATCTATGTCGATTTCATCTTCCATCTACTTTTAAAAATCCATTATTATAATTTATATATAGCCTGATCTATATTTCAATTATTACTTTTGATTTTTTAATTAACTAAAAATATTTATTTACAACTTCTTGGCGGGGTTTTGGGGTTTTGGGGTTTTGGGG